GCCGCACAACCAGCGCTGACGGCTGGGTGAGCGCTGTGTCAGGTGCCGTCAGCGCATGCTGGAGATCACGCATGGTGGCACGCACATATTTTTCTCCCGGGTTAACACCCCGTTCGGGCCTGACTTTTTCATATCGACCGGCGGGATGCAGTGGATGGGACTGTTGAAAACAGTGTAGCAGTAATTTACTAGAACGGCACCTGAAGCACGGAGAAAGTAGCTCAGTGGCGATGACCGCGATTTGACAGGATACTGCCACATACAGGAAACCCTAAGAATACTTCTGGCGAGTCGTGTATAACATATCGAACAGTTAGACTATGACAATATGGGACCACGCTGTTGTGCGCCATTTGTAAATTAATCAAGAGTAATAGAGTTAAGTGATCGGGAGTGAAAGAGTCAAGTGATCAAGAGTAGTGATCAGAAATAATATATTTGTAGTTCTCCGCCTTTCTCCGTTTCGCCATATATATATATATATATATATATATATATATATATATATATATATATATATATGTATATATATATATCCCTCTCTCTCTCTCTCTCTCTCTCTCTCTCTCTCTCTCTCTCTCTCTCTCTCTCTCTCTCTCTTAATTTGGTATGTTGTCTTTTGTGCAGTTATTTTTTCACAGGCTTAGGAATGTCAGTAATGCACGCATAAAGATGTAGCGCACCCATACACAAAAATCCTGAAAAATGTTTGTTATACGGTTAGGATATCCTACAAACAGTGAGGCACATCTGGCAAACTTTCGATGCTTTGTCTAAAATGGCACAGCCATGTGACAACTAAACGACAATGTAGGTTTGCGCCTGCGATAAATTGACGTCGTTCTAGGTGAAGGCTTGATGGCTTACATTCGACAACACAAGTACAGCTATAATGAGGTAACTTACAAAATGTACCAGGGCCTCATCAATATAAGTGGAAGATGGCTAATCAAATTGCTGAGTTTCAAATATCTCCTGCCAATACCGGGCTTTCTCGATGGCAAATGGGTAACTGAGATCTAGTTTGAACAAGGTGTACATACATTCACGTACATAAATAAGCATTAGGAAAAATATGCGATGCTACATATGCTATCATGCTATATATATATGTAATCAGCACGCACTACTTCTTTCTCATCGCCGTGGCAGAAATTTACGGAGCCTTTTCTAAGATGCGTAATTGAAGGGGTTCCGAGAAAAAGAATGGTCAGCAGAGCTTTAAATGGTTTCATTTTTAGCCAGTTAAGGAAAATAATCTTTGGACGAGAGCAATATTGCTACACTTGTCAATGATACAGCTTGTCGCGAGACGCATCATAAAAGAGACAAGTTATGTTACCCAATCATCAACGATGGATTGCATATGAGAAGACCCTATGCTTTCGAAAAGTCCTTGTTTGTTCGGCAAAAGCAAATGAGCCGCCAATCACCGTGTTGTGCAAGTTTTCGTTCAGGGCACACTGATGAGTGATATAGCGACGCGTTGCTGTATTGTTATCGTACCGCATTAGGAATTCCAGAGGTTACCACGTTTACCGCGTGTCCGCGGAGCCAAACAGCACACTGAAACAACTGAGATGGGTGGACTGAGATCCATACTGGCTACGCTGTTGCGATGAAAACATTTTAGATGTCTTGCAAAGTGGGCTGAAGTGTAATGACTTTATGCGAGCTACTCTTAGCAACTTTTTTCCCGCCATAGACTGAACCGAAGTGTACTTCGACAGTGTAAAAATGAATCGTACTGATACCCTCATGCTGTCTTGGGACTTCGAATGGGCTGGTCTTGAAATTGAATCAAGAATAGCTTGGAATAAACTATTTACCATCAGCATTCAAAACGCCATCACGCCTTTTCAAATAGCACTTTTTCAGGAGTTCACCTCTCAAATCATTTCATGACATTTAAGGGAGTCCTTTGAAAATCCGGCGGCAAATACAACTTGTCTCCATGAAGCATAACGCTACCTTAGAACGCAGCCTGAAAAGAGGCCGCACCACCCGGGTAATGTTGAAGTATCAATCACTACTGAGACCGGTAAGATCCGGAGTCGGGTCGGTCGGCCCGCATGCAACGTCCAATGGGAGTGTGGTCTGCTGTGACGTCAGATAATCGTTCTCATAACCTCTATCCAGGCTATTTCGAGAAGCTGCGTCGTAGTCTATTGGAGAATATATTTGTCAGCTTTTTGGTTTTACAGGACATTTAAAAAATTGCGACAGACATGTTGTAGATAGTGAACGTTTAAGCCGATTAAGCAGAGACTTGGCGTTAAGCTCTCAGTTTTTGAACTGAGACGAAGTTGTGAACGGATGGAAAGTTAATGTAGTCTATTCCGATCCAATCGATCAGTTTCCTACAATTTTGCGATCTGGCTAAGGTGGGACGGACCAGGTGAGACAAATACCAAGGTAGTTGGCGGACCACGCTTGTGCAGTGCACAGGACAGTGAACTAAGGACCATTAATAAATCCCGCCACACTTTTGGGCCATTTTCAACCCCCTCCCCTGGTTACGCATTGTTTATACTAGGCAGACTCCCTCCTCTTTCCGGGTTGCGCTTTGTTAGGCGTAGCGTCATAAAAGGTTACGTCCCGTTAGACCGTATTTGAGCTGGGGTTGGAAGCGGGCGACCGAATTCTTCCCTTGAGAGGAAGCAAACTTGATCTGGCTCTGAGGTGTCTTTAAAAGACTTAGGATGGTTTGCAACCACGCCGGATACGACGCCTAAGTCCGCTCATCCTTGCTTAGTTGCGCCTTGACTACGCTCCATCAAAACCTCCATTCTCCTCCGTGTGTAGCGTAGTATATGGATGACCCCTAACACGGGCGTAAACGTGTCGTTTTATTTCGTAACATCGACTCCGACCACGGTGCCAGGGGTTCTCGAACTCTCCGACCGTAGACAGTGGCGCCGTCTACGTGGCGGATGACACGTACCAGACCGAGCGTATGCTCGTGGTACATATCCCTGCACCACTCGCCTGTCCGAATATGCAAGTGTGTCACTCAGCAGCGCTCGCCAAAAGGGCTGTTACACAAGATTCCGTTTTCGAGTGTTTCTGAATCCTCTCGGCCCAGAGCTGCCCACCGCCCAAACCGACGCTGCTTCTGCAGACCGCGGGCCAGTGACCACGTCGCTGTCAGATCGCTGCGCCTGGGCGCACGCCTCTCAGGCGCACCAGATGGACGCCAGCGAGCGGACGTTCCAGCACCGACTGGTGTCCAGACGCTCCATTGCGGCGGCCTGGCGTCTCTTCTGTGGGGCTGGCCGCGTTTAGAAAGCCAAATGGATGCCGAATGGCCAGATGGGCCACAGAGCTGGCGTCAACGGCGAATGTGAGGGGTGCCCGCTGTACGTGCACCCGTGAAGCTCGCTCGCGCGATCTGTTCTGTTAGCGTACCCGCTGGAGCCATACGGAGTAGACAGAAGCTGTCGCACGTGTGTTGCCGTTGTCTCGGTGTGTTTTGATCGCCTTTCGACCATCGGGTTTACACCATCCGGCTGCCTGACCCGGTGACCAGGCACGTTCTACGTCCGCATTAATAACTTCAACCGATGCGTATCAACACTTTTTCATCAGCTGCTGGTTGACTGAAAGCCTTCACGGCCATACACCGACACCGCCCGTTTTTTCGGATCCCTGTTTAACACGTTGGTGCGATAAAGACACGTACAGAAAAGAAATGCATTTCGTTACACATTCTAAGCTAAAATACAGCCCGCACTTCCGGGTCACTGTAAAATGCATTTGTGCGATAACAAATCAGTAATATAAGCTCGGTTTTTTGGCAGTTCGAGCTCAAAACTCTTATCTTAGGTAACCAATGACTCAGCTTAATAACTCCGAACCATAACGACTCATGATAAATAACTTGCAGATTGTCCTTTCCGTCAAGGATATGGAGAGATCGAAATCACCACTGAATTAATCGAATTAGCATAGTGTCGTATGACATAGTGCAGCCTGCCAACCGTAACTGCACTACCCAAATTTTTAGGCGGACGTGAAATATACTTGCCTTGCCATCCTTCGCGTGCAACATGTCTACTGTCAGCCGTATTTACAGACGAAGCTGCACATGCCTTATCTATCGATAACCTATTTGTATCTGCAGCCGGCCTCCGAGAAACAGCGGAAGAAGCTGCTGGCCAAGGTATCCGGCACCATTCCCAAGTGGCCTCAAAAGCCCTGGACTGCACTGTACGACATGAGAAAGCTCTTCAAATCAGGCCTTGACGAACCGATGGTGAGTACACCAAAGTGTGGTCTTACAAACCTACCTGTTTTGCTTTCTTATCTGTTCTGCTGTTGTGATGTACCACCACAGCGTGCAGGCTCAGGCAGTGTTGATATATACGGGACTATGACGTCGCACTGAACTTTGGGATTGATTAAGCAAATGGCAAAATAGAATAATTTCGGCACATATCTGGTTATGCATCGCCGTTGTGCACCTTTTTATCAGCAGGGAGGTTTGAGGCCTCGGTCGCCTGTAACGCTCACGAAATCAGTGAGAACATCATGTATCATAGTATTTGTGGCCTAACCAGCGTCATCGTTGGAAGTTGTCTCCATGTTTAAATCTTTTCCCACGGGTAGTTCTTTGCATCCTTCACGCAATAACGTTGATATAACGATTAGTTTCGAGATTTGATGTATTGTCCAAAGTCCTTCTGCAGTGTCTAGCTGACTGCAGCTGCGAGGGGCCACGTTCATACGCAATTTTCACGCGTTTGCGTGCATTAGGTGCACAATTGATTACTTGAATGCATGCGGGCGCAGTTATCGGAAAAAGTGAAAAGCCAAGAAGTCAAATGACAAAACTGAATTATGGGAAAGTCGGATGGGAAAAAGCAAAAAACGATGCGATTCGGGTGGATATGGGCAAACAACAATAATTTATTTAAAAAAAACAAAAAGTTAAGTGTCAACGCTTCAAAATATTACAATCCAGGCAGGAGAAAAGTTCAAGACCACAAGTCAAATGAACAAAAAGTTAAGGGGGCAACAAAGAAAAGGACAGAAGTCAAATACATAAACGGAACAAAGGTCAATGCAAATGCAATAGGTCAAAATGATCAAAAGTCGAAGGGATAAAACATAGCAGAGGTCAGGTGCGATGAACCAGATAAACAACGAGGCAAAAGGATAAAACGTCCCAACGAATGAAAGTAAAATGCAAAAACTTAGCTAAATAATACGTCCAAATACTTTAAAAGCAAGTAGGTGCTGGGATGCTGAGGCAGTCGATCGCGTGGTGCCTCCTCCAGATAAAATCCGTGACTTGTGGCACCCTCCAGCCGGCCTTGGACTCTCTCTCCTGCCTGGAAAATTTTTAACCAAGTTGAAGTTGTGAAGCTGCTCAAACTTTGTACAGATGAAGACCGAGGATGTTCCAAAGCTCAGCCAGGGAAATAGCCGGATTACGTACTTAGTCCTGAGCACAAAAAGGTTCCATGGAAAGCCGAGTTTAGCGCAATGCAGACAGTAATGTCTTGCGTGTCGCAAAACAGCTTCGCGTGTTCCCAATATCCTTATTTGTACACCTCTGCCTGCGATTTTGAGGTGCTAGCATTTGGTCACTTACACATTCAAACATGCCATAAGAGGGGACGATGAGAGGCGCATATCCCCGAGAACGACAATACGCAAGCACCCCTAAGTTGAGCTAGGATGTCCTTGCTTGGGTTTAGGAGGCTCTTTTCAGTATCGTGAGGCCAAATTTGAGGATCAGGAAGCCCTTTTAATTGGTTCAGTCCTGCTCCGGATCAGGAGGCACTGTTTTATGTTAAGGGAGTTGCTAGCTCAGAAGGGTCACTTATAGAATCAGAACGTCCCTGTCCCGGATTAGAAGACACCCCGATAAATAACAAGGTCCGTATTCTGGATTAGAAGACACCCGGTATTAAATCAGGACGCTCTGTTCTGGATCAAGAGGTCCCTTCGGGAGATCAGAGGATGAAACATCATTGGGGTTATTCCTCGTCAAGGGACGAGGCTAGCTTCACTGGCGAGCTCACTGACGAAGAGGGGGCGGACGGGGGTCTTGCACCTTCTAACTTTTGTCATGCTGGACGAGCATTTGTTCAAAGGCCCTTAGTGGATTTGTAAGCCGTATGAAATCCAAAACTTCTGACCAAGACTGATGCGTTTTGATTAACTTTCTGTTCTACCCATATCCATTTGATTTCCATCTCTTTTGGCCTTTCGCCTAATTGTTTTGGCCTCTGACTTTTATCCTTTTGACTTCTTATCTGTCCTGCTTTCATCCATTTGACTTTTGTCACGTTTGACGTTTCGCCATTTTTACTTTTTACTTTCTGCTTTGTTCCCGTGCGACCTCTTACAATCTGACTCCTTGCCATTATCCGTTAATTTTTTGTCTGTTGACTTTTTTCCCGGAACTACGGGCATATGTAACAAAGGCTATGCTCCGGATGTTTTGCTGATGCATTGGTATGCCATTGATGCAAAGCTCCACAAAGTGTTCTTCGCGAAAGACGGTGCCCCAAATGTATGCAGCATCTTTGATGTACCGGACAGTTCCGTCTAATACGTCAGCAGTCTGCCCCAGGCAGCCCTATCTGATTCCTAGCAGTCCATGTACCGGACAGTTCCGTCTAATACGTCAGCAGTCTGCCCCAGGCAGCCCTATCTGATTCCTAACAGTCCACGTTTCCATGATTCCATGTGTCAGTTCTATGTCTAGTCAGTTATTTTGTTCTTGGGTTTTAAGGGTGCGGCAAGTGCAATGGTTATTTGCACCTCAGTTCTCTGTCTGATGTGTTGGCTACCCATCTAATATATTGGCTGTTGTTTGTGTGTTTAATCTGTGTGACATCCGTCGGATCAGCTCTCTCTCTGCCCGATGTGTCTGCTTTCTGTCTGATGCGCCAGCATTCCGTTTTATCCTCTGTCTGTTCAGCCCATGTGTCATATGTCGGCTGTCTGTCTGATGCGCCAGGAGTCTGCTGTATCATCTGTCCGTTCAGCCCATGTGTCATGTGCCGGCTTTTGCCTGATGTGCCAGGAGTCTGCTGTATCATCTGTCCGTTCAGCCCATGTGTCATGTGCCGGCTTTTGCCTGATGTGCCAGGAGTCTGCTGTATCATCTGTCTGTTGGCCCATGTGTCATGTGCCGGCTTTTGCCTGATGTGCCAGGAGTCTGCTGTATCATCTGTCTGTTGGCCCATGTGTCATGTGCCGGCTTTTGCCTGATGTGCCAGGAGTCTGCTGTATTATCCGTCTGTTGGCCCATGTGTCATGTGTCGGCTGTCTGTCTCATGCGCCAGGAGTCTGCTGTATTATCCGTCTGTTCGGTCCATGTGTCATCTGCCGGTGTCTGTCTGCTTTGTGAGTTTTTCGCCTACTGTATTGACGATCTGTCCGATGTGTCATGTGTCTGTCAGAGGTGTTGCTCGTCTGCTTGCGATGTCTGCCGCCTGTCTGAGCTGTCCGGTTGACGCAGTGCGCCGCTGTATGGCGGGATGACGTCTGGTTCGGACAGCAGCGGCTCGAGGGTGTCTGCCCTCGCTTGATCCGCGCCTGCTCCAAACTGCCCGACAAGTGAGTGCCTGAGCAAGCCTTACAGCCCGTGCACGACAACGGTTTTTTCATTTTCACATCTGCGGAAGCCATTGTAAAGCCGGAGATGAACCCAACGTGCATATGCCTATACTTGTATGACAGAAACCGGGCACAAATTTTGTCGTCGACGCATGATGTTTCTTTTCGCACGAACGTTGATTGGTAAAAATGATCTACACTCTCTATCTTCGCACGGTGGCTGGTAGCATCCGGTGGTCTCTGTAGCCAGCGATTGAGGTCACTCAATTTTCGCGCTTTCCGCTGCTCGAACGGCCCTGCACGATCGTGCGTAACTAACAGACCGCTGCGATTTAAGTATCGTCTAACGCCCATTTTAATGTCTTGTAAATGAGCAGAGGTGTCATGTTATGTTCCTCTGGCCACTGACCGGACTAAGTCAAACGTTCATGTTTGAACTGGGACCACTTCGCCCTGGTTTGATGTTTTGATTTTCACATTGCATGCCTTACTGTCTTTGTCACAAGGATGACAGAGGGATGTAGAGGCAAATGAGGGTTTCTTGAGACGCAAACCATTGTGTTCCCCACATTTTACTTGCGTAGTTTGTTTCTGTCGACAGCTGGGTGGCAACATATTTACAGGTAAACATGGGATAAGACAGTATCTTGGATTTCCAAAGTCTTACTAGCAAAAATACCTTTGCCGTCATGTTGCAACGACATTCCACTGTATTGGCTGCGGCCCGTATTTTTGGTTGTTGTGGGCGGAAAGTGGGTTAGCTATGGGTGACTTGGTTAGCCCGTGCTCCCGAACTTCTCAGGTTGACCTATCCCCCGAACCTGCGTTACGCTGCGAGCTTTATACAGTGGGTTAGCTATGGGTGACTTAGGTTAGCCCGTGCTCCAGAACTTCTCAGGTTGACCCCTCCCCCGAACCTGCGTCACACTGCGAGCTTTATACAGTGGGTTAGCTATGGGTGACTTAGGTTAGCCCGTGCTCCAGAACTTCTCAGGTTGACCCCTCCCCGAACCTGCGTCACACTGCGAGCTTTATACAGTGGGTTAGCTATGGGTGACTTAGGTTAGCCCGTGCTCCAGAACTTCTCAGGTTGACCTATCCCCCGAAACTGCGTTACACTGCGAGCTTTATACACTGCGAACTTGGCAGCTCGAAGTGGATAAAGCGTATAACATTGTCTAGCCCCCTAGCAGCTACGGCTACGGCTAGCGGTTACGATTTTCAGGTGGTTGCTTAGAATAAGCTTGAGTTATTTATATCCATGAGCGGGTATAAAACAAAATTTTACACGTGCGGTCAAACATAAAAGACTCCTCTAAATAATACAATTCCACGAAGCAGTGAATATAGTCCCCATTATGTCATCGCTGGGTTACGTCATGGAAAGTTTTTATGGCGTAAGGAGTCGCTGTCAAAGTTGTCTCGTTGGAGATGTCGTTGTAGCATACGGCGTGACACCCTTGTGGTATTCTACGTGCCGCAAGGTGGTGGTGTTGATTTATATGTGTGAATTCAACGAGCGAGCGTATGCGTGTCGCTTTCGATCTTTTATTATGGTGTTATATGTTTTTCGGTGATGACATTTTGCTTCCTTGCATTTGATTTCCGATAACAGTGCTTTTCTTAGGATATTCGATTCTCGTCCTTATGTCCGTCATAAGTAGCAGGCGCCCAAATGCGTGAGTCATTTATACCGAAACGCGATTTGTGAGCGTGAGCTAATACGTGAGCTTATTTCATCATGCCTGATGCTTGGTTAGATATCTTCCGATGTTAAACATTCCCTTTAATTGCCTTTTTCGTTGGAACAATTCGCGCTGCATCAGCGCAAACACGAATGATTGCATCACTGCAAACAGGAATGATTGAGATACGCTGGCTATGCTCTTTTTTAACATGAGCACAAAACAACCACACACACAACAAACAAAAATTCAGTGTGGTGTTTGCATGACTAGTCTAGGAAAGAACAGGGTTGTTAACTGCAGGGAATGATAATGTGGAACGGTCCTTTCAGTACATGTTTTAAACACATGACTGATGGCTGACAAGATCCAGTAAAATAAAACAACACGGTGTGGCACGTTCTCACAAACTGAAGTCAAAACTGACCAGATACCATGTGGCGAAAAATGATCCGCGCCGGACATTGCATAGTGCCGTCACTCCCCTCGCAGGGCCCCAGAGAGCCTTTATCGGGCAGCCAATGGCAGCTGATAGTGGTTCAGACAGGCCCCTGCAGACTGATGTCATCACAAGAGGGGGAGGGGGTCGGTATCAGCAGCAGATGGCGCCAACCCACCTCGCCCGGCGGTCGACCGAGATCAGAGTCGTGTTTGCGTAACGGCGGGAAGTCCGCTCGCTGACTTCAGCCACATCCAGCGCCACACACGATTGAAAAACGGGGAAGCCCGCTGGCCAAAACAGTTAACATTCGACGGTGCACTGGTTCAAATATTTACTGCCGTCGCTTGGCAGCTTCCACCCATGCTGAGACTGGTGCGATGGACTACGTGTTGTATTATTCCTAGACTGCATGTTGTATCCTAGCTTATTTACGGCTAGCCGGCTGAGCGGTGTAATCAGCTGATGACTGCTGACTAATGTAAAATTTGTGATTTGCTATAAGTTAGTATGAAATATTCTAGCATTCAAAATATGTTAAGAGCGTGATGTACAAGCTTTGTAAGTGACAAACACTCCATCGCAAAGGGGAATGACACATGCGAAGGTTGGAGGCACGCAAAATCTCCTCCGACAAGTGCGCTTAAAAATTCATCGACGCATATACGACTGCTGCTCTGAGGCTAAGGCACCAAAGCTAATACGGACAGAACCTGACCGATCATGGGTGCTCTGCGAGGCCAATAAAGAGGTTCCCGTCAACAAGTATAGGGTACTCGCGGCAAGTGAAAAGGACCTAAGACCAACGTGGCGGGCCTCTAAACGGTCGGTAGTGCCCCGGCAGACTGACATATAAAGCCCCGGCCAGAGCACAGGACCATGTGGGCAAACGGAAATTGTGCTAGACCATGAATTGTGCTTTGCGATCAAAAGTGCCCAGGCAGGTTGACAAAAGGAGCCCGATAGAAGCGAAGAGTTCTCCGCAAATGAGATCAAGGAGAAAGAGCCCACGATCAAAGAAGGGGGGCCCTGAGTATCGGTTGTCTCGGTCCCTTACCTTATCTGAGCCCCAGCAGCAGCACAAAGCCCTCTGAGAAAGTGGAAAGAATCTAAGACTAATATGAAGGCCTCCTGAGCGCCTGAGTATACCCTGACATATGGGGCCCGGTAAAGCGTATAGAGCCTTTCGGGCGAATGAGAAGAGTCGGCGAAGTGCCCCTGATTGATCAGGGGTACCCAGGACATAAAAACGGATAGTATCCCAACAGCGACGTTGAGACAATGCACGGAAAATGTAAAACTGTTAAGAGATCAAGGGAAACGTGGAAGGCTCCTTGGCGATCAGATTGACCAGGCAAGTGGGCATATACGGCCCGGGCAGCAGTGTAAGCCCTCTGGGAAGCATAATGAGCCCCACAATTTTTCTAAACCACCACCCTTTCAATCAGTACAAATTGAAATTTCCTTGCTCATAAACTCTTACTTTCGTTTGCAACCGTTATATGCTGTCTATAGGCCCAAGCACACCCAATTTTGTTGTCTTTCTCTTTATTAGAAAACTGTTTCCGTTCAGCCGGTTATCGGCCACTTTGAAGCCCATGGGTCTCCTCTGCATGGTCCATGGGACGTGGTCCGGTGCTCCTCCCTTTATATCCGCCAACGGCCCGAGCAGCTTAATAGATGGGGCCCGCCAAGAACATTGGACCATTCATTCAAGTAAGAAGCACTCAAGACAACATGGAGGGCCCCGGGGGATCGAGTGCTCCAGAGCAGGTTAACGGATGAGAGTGCCCATCAAGAGCTTGGGGCCTTCCGTTAAAATATGAAGTACCCGCAACACAATACAAAGGACCGTAAATGATCGAGTGCGCCAGGGCAGGTTAACAGACAGGGCCCCTCAAAAGCGTAGGGCCCTCCATTCAGTTAAGCAGCACCCAAAACACAATGTAAATGGTCCCAGAACGACTAAATGTGCATGAGCAGCTTATCAGAAGGGGCTCTACAAGAGCGTAGGGCTATTCACTCAAATAAGAGGTACTCAAAACCCAGTACGGAGGACCCCCGAAAGATGGAGTGCACCCGAGAAGACTGCCAGATAGCCCCCGACAGGATCGTAGGGCCCTAAATTCAAACACCAAAGGCTAATATACCGGGCCCCCGAGCAACCCAGTGTAACCGAGAAGGCGACCAGAAGGGGCGCCAACAATTGCGTAAGGTCCATTCAACTAGGAAGCCCCCGAGAAACAACGCGGGTGCCCGAACAATCGAGTATGCCCAAACAGGTTAACAGAAGAGGCCCTCGACAAGAGAGAAGGCCCTTCCGTTAAATTATGAAAAACCCACGACACGGTATAGAGGGCCCCCAAATGATCGAGTGCGCCAGAGCAGGTTAACAGATAGGGCCCCAGTTAAGAGAGTAAGGCCCTCCATTCAAATAGCAGGCACCCAAGACCCAATGTTGATGTCCCCAACGGTCCAATGTGTCCGAGCAGCTTATCAGAATGGGCCCCGACAAGAGCAAAAGGCCCTCCATTCAAATAAGAAATACTCAAAACCCAGTGCGGGGAGCCCCGAAAGATGCAGTGTATTAGATGGCCCCGATAGTAGAGTAGAGCCCTAAATTCAAACACCAAAATCCAATGTGCAGGCCCCCGAACAATCCACTGTCACCGAGGAGGTGAGCAGAGGGGCCTCCGACAAGCGCGTAGGGCCCACCATTCAAAAAGGAAGCACGCAAGACTCAATGTAGAGGGCCCTGAACGATCGAATATGCCCGAGCAGGTTATCAACTAAGCTTTTGACATGTGCGTGGGGCCCCCATTTCAAATAAGAAGCACCCAAGACCCAGTGTGAAGGGCCCGTGAAGGTTCTAGTGT